AGAGAGAGAGAGAGAGAGAGAGAGAGAGAGAGAGAGAGAGAGAGAGATCAGTTGTGTATTTGTAACAGAGTGTAGTTCAGCATCACAAGGACACTTCTGGTTTCCTAGCTCGCACCATTCCCTCCATGCCGTGAGGAAGCAGCAGCACGATGCCGTTCTGTCGGACCCACTTGGCCTGACCGGAGCTGATGAACTGGTCGATGATGCACTGAGCCGTGTTGTGAAAGTCTCCAAACTGGGCCTCCCACAGAACCAGAGCGTTGGGACTGGCCATGGCGAAGCCCAGTTCAAAACCTGCACACAGAGAACAGAGAGAACTAAACACAACATTTACAGAGTTCGTTCTCCAGCTGACCTTCCTGTGAAGATACAAATCTCTGTGTGGCTTTCTTCACTCTTCGTGCATCAAAAAAAACTACAAATTTGAAGAACATGTTTGTCCTTAAGGGTCTGAGTTTCTGTGCGCCACAGGTAAAGCTCTTTAAAACCGGGTTTTGTGTTGACGCGGCTCACCCAGCACTCCGTACTCCGACAGAGAGCTGTTGCAGACGGTGTACGGAGCTTGATCGGGGGAGACGTAGTTCATCGGGATGCAGATCCTCTTGTCAACGTTCTGGTCGTGAAGAACATGATGCCGATGGCTGTGAAGCACAATCACAGAAAACAAACTGGGAAAGTGACGAAGATTTCGCTCTCTGTGGTCTTGAATTTCACTTCAAAATAAAAGTCCTGCTCCTCTATGGAAACAGAACAGTTCTTTGATCATTTAAAACATGTTTTTTTTTTTACAGGATCTTTTTAGAGCAAACAGTTTATTTAAAATAAAATACTGTTGATGAATTGTCACAATTTTAAGCTTCGTTTTCTGAAGGAATTGTTCGTCACACATGACGTGTTCGAGGATCGTCTGGTTTTGGGGTTCAGAGGGTTAAACTGGGATTTCGGTACAATCGCCCCATAATAAAGGAATGATTAAGCAAACCGGTGTCAAAAAAGAGCATTAATCCGTTTCTAATTCCAGTATTTTCACCCTTGTCGTCCTGTAGCTGATGGGTGTGAACCATCTCGTCCAGTTAAACCAGAGTGTGAAATACGGGGGGGGGGGTCTGAGACCTCTTGAAAGCCTCAATAGCTTAATTTCAGGGGTCTCTAAAATCACAAGACAATAATTTGTCACTTGCAATCGTCACTAAAATGTATTTTAAAAGCTTTTTCACAACATTTATTCATAAATATGACACCAGAAACGAAGAGAGACGGTCTTCACGTCTGTTTAAGGACCTACTCGGACCCCCTTTTGGAGAAACGATGCACTTCCTGGTTCCCGTCTGCGTTACCTGAATGTTCCCCTCTCCACATCCTGTCCGCTGAGGCGAACGTGGATCCCATCTTTGAGCAGAGAGCCAAAGGCCATATATTCCCCGAGGGCCCAGTCGCACACTCGCTGATTCACCATATTCGTACGGCCTTTTAGGATACGACTCAAACCTGAAACACAAACCATTCCAACACAGATTAGAAAAGACACATTTGGAGGTTTTCGGTGTAAACACGGAGGAGGAGAGCGGTCGGTACCTCCGTGGATCGTGAAGTCCTCCACGGGGACGGAAGCAGCGATATTTCCAATATGGCCGAGCTCTTCTTCACTGATGCCAGTGGAGGGGCAGCTCATGCTCTTAGGCTGTCCCTCCAATGTGAAGAAATCTACAGACAGACACCACAGCTCAGACTACGGACTGGGATTTAAACATCAGACGGGTAGAAGGACAGGACTCCTCACCGGGCCACGGCGAGTCCAGCCAGTGTTTGATGTGAAGGATCTTCTCATCTTTGGAGCGAGCGTAAGCCTCCTCGCATATTCTGTCGTACCTCGCTACTTCCTCCTGAAAGAGAAAGATGCAGCTTATATAACGCTTCCCCAACGTACTCGTCCTCCAGACACTGCCGGGGTTTGATGGCCACTTTCGGAACAAGAAGAAGGTGTTTGTTTCCCACATGGCACCCCATTAATTTATCTTATAGTTGACAGAATGAACTGCTTTAAAATGACGTCAACAGACATATTTTGGTGATGTGGTGAAGCAACGTGGGATCAGAAGAGTTGTTGTCTTCATTGCAGTCGTTAGGATAACTTCAGTGTTCATGTTTCAGAAGGTTCTGTACCACAGAGGTCTCCTCCTCTCCAAAACAAACGGACCCGCTGATTAAAACACAGTGTTTTGTTTCCCCGACGCTGTTCGGAGGACGCAGGACGTCCTGGAAGGGTTGAGAGACGAGCTAATGCTAACGTTAGCTCACCTGGTTTCTCTGATAACTTAAGATTTGTAGAAATGTATAATCTACATTTGTGGAGCCAGAAATTCATGAATAATATGAGAGGTAACGTAAACGTATCCTCCAGAGAAGCGTGTTCACGTTTAGCATCTTCACCTCGTACGCTGGTGTCGTGACGACGCCCTCGGCGATGACTTTTTCTGCAAACTTCTGCAGGACTCCTTTCTGCTTCTTGATCTGCTTGTACATCAGCGGCTGCGTGAACATCGGCTCGTCTATCTCGTTGTGGCCGTTGCGTCTGTAAGACACCTGAACGTGAGGAGGAGAGAGTTTAGTTATACGCTCCTCTTAACACACAGTCCTCCTGTCGACACAATCGAGTGTTTTAATCAATTATCATGACAAACATACGTAAACTTCAGTGTTAATCTGTGTTTTTCCACCTTATGTTCATTACTTTTGTATAATATTTACCTTTTTCTCACACGCTGCTCCTCTTTGGTTACTGAACTTGAACTGAAGTCCTCGTCTGTCTGCTAACGCCACTCTGAAGCTTTATTTATATGTAGTTCATACTCGCCGTAGTGAAGCTAGCGTGAGGTGTGTGCACCACAAAGCGGCGCTTGGTAGTGAACCTCTGAATTGTTTAAAACTAGGCGCTCACTGCGTGTTCGATCAGAGCTTTTCAGACGTGACTGTCACAAATAATTCACTAATAAAACATTATCTTCATGTCTGAGACTTTTACAAAGACGCTTTAGAAACAGTGTTAAAAATCTACATTTGAGTAAATGTTTTGCAGCCAAATCAAACAGTTTACAGGATATTCAACCTTTGTATTGTTATAATACATTTAACTTATCTCCTTACAGAGCTTATAGAAAGGCAATAAAGTAGTCCATGACTATGAGATATGAGTTATTTACAGTCCCTTCTAAGCATTGTGGAGGTTATTTCTTTGGCTTTATGCCAGTTTCACTCGTTGTCTTCTCGGTTCTTGGCAGTACATTTTCTCTTCAGCCCTCTGGCGTCTCAGAGAATAATGCAACGAACAGCGCATAGAGTATATCTTTATATGCCGTCATTTATCGTAAACCCTGACGAAATGTCAGGAAGGTATGAAAACAAAGATGGCGCCCAAGCCTCTCCTACTTCCAGTCTGTCCTCACAACTAGCTGCCTGGACCTGTCGGGCTGTAGCTCATCCAGTAACTGTCACTGGATCATTAAGATGTCTTGACTTTATTTTCCCTGCATGGGATCCACTTTAAAAATCACCAAACCATGATTTCATCAGAGGAAACCTGCTGGATTTAAACCCGGAGCTACAAAGACCCCCCTCCTGTGTACTCACCAGGTCCACCACTACATCTTTATGGAAGGTGTTCCTCCACTCGGCTGCCACTTTGCACACATACATCACAGCCTCCGGGTCGTCTGCGTTGACGTGGAAGATGGGAGCGTTGACGACGCGTGCCACGTCCGTGGGATACGGAGACGAACGCGCCATCCTGGGATCCGTGGTGAACCCGATCTGTGTGGATGAGAGGATGAATTCATTCATCAAACAGACTCTAACCGGCTAAATCTGCTCTCTTTTCATCGTTTCAGGCTGTGGATTCAATAAAAACCACAAATCAAGTAATGAATGGGGGTGTTTCCACCATAGACTGTGTATAAGAAGTGGACCTAGTCATTGGGACGTCACCCATTGGTTTGTGGACGGATGTTATGAAGCCTCAATTTCAGCGAATTTGCCGTCGCCATCTTTTACGGCGTTCAGCATGTTGTTGTTTTTGCAACCAGTGAACAGGAAGTGACCATATCTGGACTGA